TTACCTGAGGTAGATACACTCCTTGGAGAGAACAATCATGGGAGAAAGAAGGGGTGCTTATGCACAGGGAGACAGCTCAGGGGGCAGGAGTGCATTGGAGGGATGGACACAGGGAGGAGGTAACTATGGGGAAGAAGTGGGAGGGGAGTTGTTGCACTGTGGTAAATTGTGGCCAATGTCATGAGACAAAGTGTATGTGAACTGCTGTATGGAAAGTGAATTTGTTCTGTAAATTTTTACCCAAATCACAATTTAAAAAACAAAATTGATTTTGAACAACTCTGGCTGGTACTTTTCATTCTGGCAAATAATCTTGTTTTGCTTCTACTCAGACTTGTAACAAATTAACCTTAAAACCAAACTCACTGCCATGGAGTTGTTTCTGACTCATAGTTACCCCACTGGGTTTCCCAGGCTGTAAATATTTATAGAAGTAGATTGTCCATCTTCCTTCCATGGAGCAGCTGGTGGGTTTGAATCACTGACCTTCTGGTTAGCAGTCAAATACCTAATCCACTATGCCACCAGAGCTTCTTAAATTAACTTCAGATTATTAAAAATTATTTTTTCTTAGAAAACTACAATTCAGAGAGTAAAGCAGGGAGCAAGAAGGAATGAAGTTGAGGAGTCCTGTTAATTTTTCAAGGTTGAAATCTTAAGTGCTAGGCTATTTTTACATTATTAATAAGGGAGAAAATAAATTGGGATGGGTTTATTTTTTAAATAAAGGAAAGAAATTGGAAGGTAGGGGAGAAAAGATACTGACTGATTTTTAAAAAAAAGCACAAAGCGCATTAATGGTTTAAGTTTTGGTGCACGCATTTGGGGTTGTACTTCCCAACTGTACAGCCTCTGCCGGATTCCACTTACAGAGGATGATTTGCATAGCTCTCCTTCGTGGCAAAAAAGAAATCAGGGCTAAGTTTTGTGGGGGTGGAGGTGAAGAAAGACGAATATTCTAGCTGATGAAAAGTGTTTTAAAAATCCCTTTCCAAATTCTCAAAACTGCCTTGCTAAAAACTCTCACATTCTTATTTCAGTATCTTCTTTTCAGTGTAGCCTGACTTCCAAAGCACTTCTGAAATGTAATTAGAATGGAACAGAAAATGAATTTTGTGGTTTTCCCTAGTTTTAAAATGAGAAAGTGAAACTGTGTATTTATTATTATTATTTTTTTTTAGTATGAAGCAAAATCAGGAGTGTGGAGACCTGCAGCAGAGCCAGAGAGAGAGAGAGAGAGAGAGAGAGAGAGAATATGGTTGATAAAGTGTTGTTGAATAAGGCAGCACATTAGAGGCTTTGGAAACCAGGTTTATATATTAAGGAAGAGCTGGGGCATAGAGAATTAAACAGGCAATAAAAGATGGGTTAAAAAAAATAACAATGAACAATTATGTATAAACACACATACCACCTCCAAAAAACTCAACCTCCTGAAGCAAAACCCACCCAAAACATATCAACAAACCAATGTGATATTAAATAAATTACTGGAGTGATTACAAAATCCAAGAATCCAGGTCTGTGATTCATGGAAATGCTTTGCTGTGGAATTTATTTTTACTTCTCTCCATAAATACATTGTTGACACAAAGAATAATATTCTTAGTTTACTATTTCAGGACTTGATGTTTCCTTCAGAAAAATAAAAATGAAGGGGCTGTAAATCTCTTCTCACTGCCCTTGTGCAGGTCTTAGATTTCCAAAAAGAAAGCAGTCAGAGAGTGCTGACACCGGTGTCCTAAAGAGTGAAGGATTTAGTGAGCTGTCAATTTCTCTCAGAATTCTTTTCTGGCACTGCTGTTCTCTATGTATTATTAATCTGTATTTATATTTAACTCCAGCTATTAGTCCGCCTCTTCCAGCCACTGAGCCATTTGCAAAGGCAAGGAGAGGCAGACAAGGGCTGCTATTATTAGGCTTCCCTGTGCGTGTGACGTGTGAGGAGGGTGGAGACAATTAAATAACACCATTTGGCTTCTTTGAAAATGACAAAGAGATTGTTTGGGGTGGACAACTCAGGGCTGGTTAACATAACCTTTCCCCTCAAGAAGGTAAAACAATAGAGACACATTTTTGAAGTACTTAATTAAGCCTTCAGCAATGAATGTGGGAAAATTACAGACCCATAAAAACCCTCCAGTTCCAGGCAAGAGTAAAGTTTCTCTGCAGCACTCTGTCACTGCTCATTTACTGCATCACTGTGACAACACCTCATGTTTCCACAAGGCTTTTACGTAATCTATAAACCGGGACAGAAGGATGAGGAACAGAGAGAATTGGGACAAAGTCTGGACCTCCTACATTGGCAGTTCTTTTCATTTTTCCATTAGAACATGAACCTGAAAGGGTGGCATTTTAAGATGATTTCGTTAAAAGGCTGAGACGTTAATAACTGACATGGCAAGAAGAAGGCTGTGAAAATTTGCTCTCTCTTCCAGAGGATGAGTATAATTCAGTCGTAATGAAGGCTCTTGAATATTCCTCCCCCAAACCTTTTTCGGTCAGGAAAGCCTGGAATCTGTAGGCAAGAAAGACAATCACAGTAAGTCACAAACAGGAAGAATTCCAATACCAATAACCTTTAATTTTTTTTTTCCTTATTGTCTGTTTCTGTTGTCTGCCTATATTGTTCCTTAAAGAACCAGCTTTCTGAGGTTTTACTCAGAAAACTGCTGAAGCTTAAATAATGAAATACATTCTACCAAAATAGAAAAGATGTGCTAACTGTTTGGTAATAGTGTCATCTAAGTCAGAATAATATTTACCTGTTGGGGTTTTACACGAATTATGTGTATTATGGTAGTGTCTTGAACTCTTAAGGAAATAATTTTCTTCTATTATTTTATAATGTAACCTTATCCGAGTCACATCCGACTCGACAGCAGTGAGTCTGGTTTCGGTTTTTATCCACGGCTACTTCTTGTTTCTTAGACTCTCCCATATTTTCCCTTTTTCCTGATTTCTTCCTTTTGTATTTAACAGGATATAAGAAAATCAGTTGCTTATGCCTATAAAAAAGGCCCCTTGGTGGCTCACCAGTTATGGACTTGACAGCTAACCAAAGGGTTGGCAGTTTGAATCCACCCAGTGGGCTCCTCAGAGAAAGACCTGATGATCTGCTGCTGTCAAGATGAACCCATTGCTGTTGTCAGATGCTGTTAAGTTGCTTCTGACTCACAGTGACCTTACAGCTATGGAAATCCCATAGGGTTTCCAAGGCTGTAAATCTTTATGGAAGCAGACTGCCGCAACTTTCTCCCATGGAATTACTGAGGGGTTCAAACTGCTGACCTTTTGGTTAGCAGCTGAGTGCTTAACCACTGTGCTACCAAAACCCAGTGGGGCATTTCTGTTACATCAGGTAGCTATGAGTCAGAATTGACTCAATAGCACCTAACAACAACAACAACATGCAAACAAAAGGCTTCCTCCCATTTTTTAAAATACTTCTATAAATATGGAAATCATCCCTCTCCAAATTTAAGGCCCTATTGTGCCAAGAAAAGACAGACACCAACCTGATTACCATCTCTTAAAAAGTATCTCTTCTCTATGACCTGTGAGAAACAGAGAAAGAATTTAAGGGCTCAGTAGACATATCTGGAAAATGTGGTAACTGTAATGACCACCAATGGAACTGATAGGTTTATATTCTGATAGTCTTTTGAGTAGTTCTAGATGTTCACTTATAAAGCAAATTAATGAGGTCAGGATTATGAGAGTGTTCCCATAAAGGCCTACCTTATCCCAAAAAACATAAAGGATAGATCAAAAAATAAATAAACCAACAAAAACATCCAAATAATCAAAGAATGAAATGAAGAAATCAATGGTATCAGATCCCACACTATTTCTACTGTATGGCGATAAGTTTGGCTCTAAGTTTCCCCCAGGTACCAAAAAGAATCCACAAGATAAAAAAAAAAAGCAAAGTCCTTTCCTATCACAATAGCTATTCCTTGAAAAGGAGACCAAGTAACATAGGGAACTACCACATTGCTACAGCAGACACAGTGATAAATTCTGAAGGTACTCAAGGTAGCAGATGGCACAAGACCAAAAGTAGTCAATTAGCTTTTTTTTTTTTTTTTAAGGATTTAACCTGCACCCTCAATTCAGTAGTTTCAAAATTGTCTGTATTTGGTCAGTTGGAGAAATAAGTTAAAGCAACAGATGCATCTGTAGAAATTCATTTACTATTACTAAAAAAAAAGAAGCCTTCAAAATATATGTACCAATGTAATGAATTTAAGAGCATCATGTTTTCAGATGAAAAATTTGAAAAAATCATTACACTTACTCCTCATTTATTGATTATTTCCTTATCCAACATTTTGTATTTATGACAACAGTAAAAATCTACCATCCAACTATTTTGTGTATTAATGATGTGCATTTGGCAGTAATGAACGCTGAAGTGCTGAGCAAGAGTAATGCTGTGATGCTTAAGGTTATGTATAATCTTGGCTGGGCCATGATTCCCAGTGGTTTGGTAGTCATGTAATGATGTAATTTGGCAGTTATGTATGATGTAGTCATCTTCCACTATGTGATCTGATGTGGTCATCCTTCTTTCTTGCATAATGCTCATTTTCACATAATGACCTGGTCTTTGGAACCTAACCATGTTGGTAAGTGAGGAGTGCATGTAATTCTATTCCAATACTTGAGAAACTACAATAGTTGCAGACACAGTATTATTTTTCTTACACACAGTGGCTGTAATGAGAAAAGTCAATCAGGTAAGAATATAGCTTAGCTGGGGATGAACATTTATGGCATTCAGATTTGGTGTTATAAGGAATTGCTCTCAATGAGAACAGTGCCATCTTCCAGCTCACTGTGTGACTGACTTGAGGGCCAAATCATCTGGATCTTTCTATCTTGGAGACTATGGCTAGACTACTTTTAGACACAAGAGACTCAGGGCAGAGTTATATTCAATAGCTTCAGAGTAGTAAAGCTGGTTCATGATTAATACAGATCTCAAAATACTCTTCCTCTCCAAAATCAAGAAAGGACTGACTTCCTATCCTCTCTCAATATCAAGAAAGGGAAATCCTCTCATTCTAGAGAGGGGAGGAATTACTACTAGCCAAGGGAGTCTGGAGAAGGAGTCAGACTCCCTCTTGGAGAAGAAATCTTTAAAATACATTAAACTCTGGAAGATGTGATGTATAGAAAATTGGTCCAAATTCTAGATTTAGTTGTAAGTACCTCAGTTTCAGGCAACCGCCTCAGTTAGGAGTTCTGGCCAACATCCTAATCCACATTCTTGTGTGGCTACTGAAGCAATATAAAGAAAAGTTACCTTTTTGTCTTCCCACCCTCAACTTGAAGTGCCTTTCTCTTACCAAATCTTGCTTCCTTGTTAAAATCAACCAATGTTCTCATTACTTTTATCTCTTTATTTATTTGTTTAAGTGGAGCCTTGCCTGATAATTTGAGTCACACTGGTCTACAACCCATTCTCTCTCTAGGCTATAATTTATTACATCTTATTATTTTACTACAAAACTAATATCTTATTAAACATAAATAAAAAATATATAAAGTGAGATCTTCGTCCATCATACACAAGCCTATAAGATCTTGCTCTTAAAGGAGATAATACCGTTTTAGATGTGGGCCACGGTAGTTCCTTTGAAAACAATGTGGAGAGAAAAATCTGTTCCAGGCAGTGCTTCCCAACATTTTTCATGTCATAGCACATTTAGAAAATGCTAGTAGTTGCAAATATTTGTACAACACACTGGGGCAAATGGAAGAGGCTGCCAGTCACTCAGTCTGGGGGCTCTGGCTGCTCCGAGAACTGAGGGAAATCAGTATCTTGACACACCTGTAACCTATATGTCACACACCAGTTGTGAAGTTCTACAGTGAAGTAAAATTTTCCCACTGATGTGATATTAAACACTGAGGGGAGTAGGGCTTATGTCATGTTGACATATTGGCTAAATATTAGTAGAAGAAAAGTGATTCACAAAGAAGAATTATGAGGAGGGAAATATTTTTCTTGGGATGCTACACTTAGAAGGAAATAAAGTAAAATTATTCTTTTCCAACATTATATACAGAATTCATCCTATTTTTCTATACGATGCAATGTTATTACTGGGCAAACAACTTAAACTTGGTCAATACTATATGTAATGCAGCCATATGACCTCGTAAAGGGAAGATAAACAGTGATCTAATTTACTAATACACTGAGGCATTCTACATTGTCATTCCAGTTCAGGACACTATCATGATACTAGCAAAGAGTACATGAGGGATCACAGAAAAGACAATATAACTTTACAAAGTAACGGCAACATATAGGTGGAGAATTATTAACTGCTCAAGGCTATAACTAAACAGAATTTTTACAGTTCAGTGCCTTTTGGGGATGAAGATATACAAAAAATAGCTAGAAAATGTTTTAAGGAGAAGAATTATTTATCTTTTAAAAAAAAAACCAACGCTTAAATCTAGTACCTTTCATCCTTTACTGAGAAAACTTTGGTGATGAAATAAATACGTCAGCAGGCCTTGAGCAATTTTACTAACAGATAAGAGGGATCAAAACAAGTATTATTCAGGTTGTGGAGTTGAGGATGAAGGAATAAAGGGACATAGCATTCTACAAAGAATTTAAACTCTCATAACACATACATTTTTAAAATAACTCAATTGAAGTCATTACCTTATCAAAAAACCTACTGAGCTTGACAGCATTGGAAGAACCTGCCGCTAAGTACCGTGGATTTGTGCAATCCTAGAAGATAAAACATAAGATCCACGCTGAAAAGCTGGGAAACATTTGCCCTTTGTTAGTCACTACCATTCTTGTTGCACATTTCCACAGTAAAATGTTCAGCATGATACACACATAAAATAGTGAGATAATTTTCAAATTATGATGCAAGACACAAAGAGACAAGTGCTAAAGGAAGGTAAGACCACTTAACTTTTTGTCATTTAAGCAATTTTAGAGGTTACTGCATCAAAGTATCAATCACCAACTAATTCTTAAAGGAACATAATATTTTAGAAATGGCAAAACTAAAGTACCTACCTACATTTATTCTGGAAATCAGAATGTAGTCATTACAGTCACAACTTTGCTTTTTAGTACTAATTACTCACCAGTGCTTCACTAATTAAGTTCGTATGAAAAGTAGGAAGCATGAAAGCAAGGATTTAGAGAAGAAAGAATAAACACACAACAGTTGGCAGGGATTTCTCACCCACTGAATGCGAAGTACGACATTTCTGGGTAGGCCACAAAAGGTGTATTGTTTTTGATGATAATAAACAAAACATATATATTAATAGCATTTTAAAAAATAGGGAAGAAAATGGGGCTCAGAAATGACAAGACATTCTGGCATGTTATATCATTAAAATGACTAGCAAAGCAGAAGCTTTGGCTTACTAGCCTTTCTCATAGCAACTTCATAGGACTGAGTAGAACTGCCCCACGGGGTTTTCAAGGCCGTAAACTTTATGGAAGCAGACTGCCACATCTTTTGCCCAGGAACAGCTGGTGGGTTCGAACCACCAACCCTTTTGGTTCATAGCTGAATACTTTAATCACTGCACCACCAGGGCTCCTTGTGATGATTCCAAATACAGCTAAACAAATACCAAAGCTAAAACACAAATACCAAAGGAACAAACAAAAGTCCCCCAAAAAACTTAGTTCCAGGGTTCCATAATTTCAGGGTGAATAGGCTAGAGAATCCCTATGATATTAAGCTGAGAACTCTAGAGCTGAAAGAGCCATCTGCCACAGATCATAGCTGAGGGCAAATCCTGAAAATTCTTCTTGTTGTTATGTGCCATTGAGCTGGACCTGACTCATAGAGAGCCCTCCTTGGGTTTCCTAGGCAGTATCACTATGGAAGTAGATTGCCCAACCTTCCTTCCAAGGAGTGGCTGGTGGGTTTGAACCACCAGCCTTCTGGTTAGCAGTCAAGTGCCTTAGGTACTAGCTCTAAATAGCTTGTGAAAGCTTGAGAAAGGACATGTTAACTAGGCAAGATGCTTGAATATGATCACTTTGAAATAAACACATAATAGAAAAATTTGCACTAGATATAATAAGCTGAACAGGCACTAAAAAAAAAAAGCTATCTTCTCCCTGCTTACAATGGAAATAATATTTTATATGTATTCAGATAGAATATGATAGTTTGGATTTCATTTTTGATTTATACATTTAGGTTAGTCTTATTTTTCTATAGCTTTAAGTAAATTGACACAGTAACTGATGATGCTAACACTAATACTGTGTTACATTATACACTAGTTTCTTCTTTGAGGCTTTATATTTACTTGCTGAGTCTTTGGACTGTTACCTCCTTTGGAAACTTCTCTTACCCAATTTCCCTTCTTATGTTTTCTTTCTTGTATCCTCAAAAACCTTCTCCTATTATTGTTTCTGCTGTGTTCTTGAGGCTATACATTGATAAAAGGCTAAAAGTATGCTGCATGTGAACTCCTTGGGAACAATGTGTGCTAAAGTTCTACCACTTATGTACTTTTATAGTCTTGTTAAAGAATGGAAAGATGGTCCTGCCTTCTCAAGAAAAGTAGTTATAACATTTATCTAGCTTATCCTCACAGAAATCTACAGGTACTAGAAACAGATATATTCTGACATACATTAAAAGTATGCACTGGGACAAATTAAGTGTATTCAGTGATAAATTTCCCTTTGCAAATAATGTTAAAGCAAAGTAAAACTAACACTCCTCCAATAAAGATATTATATACTCTATAAATTAGAAATTCTCTGGAGTATCATGGTACAATGCTGACTACCCAGGGTACATACACTGAATATTCCACGATGGCAGTGGAGAAAAGTAATGCACCTTCCAGTGCAAAGCAGAATGTTTCAGAAACAATGGAACAGAATAGAAGGTGACTCAGTTATAAAGGAAGGGAAGGAATAAGGTTGAACTGACCAGTGTTTACAAATGTTGATTCAGAAATGAAATGTATCAAAAATACCTGAATCATTTGTTAGAATTACAGAGTCCTGGTCCCCATGCCAGACCTTAAGAATAAAAAACTCCAGTTGTGGGGCAGTTATTCGAAATTTTTCACAGGTAATTTTTCCTGGTAATATGAATATCCAATCAGATCTGGGTAACTGTGGGTATATGTGATTTCTGAGAGTTCTTTTGGCTTCAAAATTCTAAATTTAGTTGAAAGATAATTAAATGGAAAATATACTTATTTGTGGAGTACAGACTGAAGTTAGAGTGCTTTGCTTGACCTGTGTAACATTGACCTAATTATCTGACATCTCTCCAGTTCTAGTCTGATGATACATATGAGATAATGCATGTAATTCACATAATGTAGTGTTAACTAAATGTTAGCCATTAGTATCACTTTATCACCACCCCCACCACCGGTCTGGAAAGCCAGCTCACTGAATATGTTGCATGAGTCCTACCTGTGAACAGGACACATAAACCGTGACTTAAGCTGCTGGTGGAACCCTTCTCTGGGCAATGCTAACCAGCTTATGTGAGAACTGTTTCTTAGCTTTTATAGCACCAAGTTCTAATTGAGCTCACTAGCTATCTCAGGAAGGAACTCCAATCCCCAGTAGACACATAAATTTATATAAACTTGTGCTTAGGAAGCACTCCTAGTTAACAGCTTATACTTTTCTCATTTATCTGTTTGGTTGGTCTTTAAGGCAAATGTTGTAGTCTAAGAAGCTGGCTTTTCTCAAACAAGAATAATCATGGTACAGTATCAGTGATTCTTTGTCACCTTCATTATTTTGATTTTGGTGTGAATTTTAAAAATCTTATGAAAAAGCCTATGATTTACATTATTCACTGAACATGGGTAGTTTCAGGGTCACTGTGGTTACCACAGTGTCCAAGAGAACAGCAGATAAGTAGGCTGAGAATGACTGTGCCCATCTGACAGTCTAGATAATGTTGATTCCAATCGTGGCTACATTTTGGACTAATCCAAACCACCTGACTTCAAGTATAAAGCTTCTTTCATAAGACTACAGTGATACCTGTGAGAGCCAGAACTTGATGAGACTGCCTTTTTTTTTTTTTT